ATATATATATATATATATATATATATATATATATATATATATATATATATATAACTTTATAGATACTCTCTTTTATTGTAAATTTTATACAACAATCTAGAGACAATACATTTTATAGAAATAAAAAAAAAATTATGAACACTGAACAAAAATATAAGTATTGTTATATATTCTTGTAATCTATATATATTTATTTTTTACATTTATACATTATTTCTGAAATTATTTGAAATCTTCTATAAATTGTTTTATACATTGTATGAATATACCTCAAAATATATATCTTTTTTCTTAACACATGTATCACATCCATAAATTCGAGAGAAAAAAATAAATATATATTTCTCTTTTTTTTTTAGATTTAAGAGGTATTAATTTCAGGAGCAAATATGAGATCTTGGGGTTCTTAACCTTCTTACATGTGCAAAGAGGTTATCTCAACTAATTCCAAAGATTTTTTCCCACTGTATCGTACACAGACAGGCGTAATATGTCTCAAAGTAGCATCATATCTAACATTCTCGTTTTTTCTCTCTTTAAATTTTCTCAACTCATTAATAGTACAAGCGCATAAGTTTCCTAACCTCTTCGCATGTTTTTCATAGGTCTCTCTCTCTCTCTCTCTTTATGACTGCAGACCTTCTCCATAGGTCTGTTCTTTCTAACTGAACTATTTAAATTGGAAACCTGAGAACGGCTACGCCATACGTTTTAGCCGTCATTGATTTTCACATAGAGACCCTTCAAGAGAGACTGGACAAAGCGTCCACAAAATGACGGCCGCCAATACGTGAGCTCGTAAGAAGTGCGTGGTCTGTACTTTTTTGCTGTACTGCTGCACTAGTACAATAAATAGAGTGAGACGAGTATATTTTTTCTTACTCTACTTATGTTGGCGCAGCCATTTAATGGGCAAAAGTCACGTGCACCAATCACGTGGAGCCCCGTTATGTCCAGTCTCTACTCAAGGGTCTCTGATTTTCACGCTGTTCGATGCGCCATCCGCACCCATTTTTGAGGTGAAACTACGTTCCTTAAGCCTGTATCAGACTACCGACTGCACCGGCCGACCCGACTGCCGACTACGACTTTCTTTTTCGAAGAACTTCCTACTTCTTGCTACTTACTTCCAATGTAGACGTCCCTTTAAGCAACTGACCAACCACATGGCTCCTGCACACAGGACGCGGTAATGCTTGCCGCGCGGCAGAAGTCCACGCGTCAACCAATCAATATGTTGTTTTTCCATAAGAACTAGAAGGTTATTACGGAAAGCAGCATATTAATTAGCTGTCGCGCGGCAAGCATTACCGCGTCCTGTGTGCAGGAGCCATAACGCTCTATGCACAATGCCAGACAACAGACAATAGGAACAGGGAATAGTTGGTCAATTATTGGTCAATTATTTCTATTCCTTGTTCTTATTAGATAATGTCTATTTCTATTGCCTGTTGCCTGGTATTGTGCATAGGGCTTAAGTCGTAACCAACTAACCAATCACAATTATTCTTGAGACGTAAGGAGAATAATTAACAGTGGTTGGTTAGTTGCTTAAAGGGACGTCTACATTGGAAGTAAGTAGCAAGAAGTAGGAAGTTCTTCGAAAAAGAACAAACCTATCAATCACGAGAAGTCGATACTATTCAGTGTAAAATCAATACTGATCGATATGAAGTCGATACTTTGAAAATTCCTTCTTAGCTGCGCCACGTTGCAATTTCTGCATTCAAGTTCCAGCCTAACTGCCGTGGCGTAAGGACGTATTCGAATTTGTTCGGACGTGATCTATGTGATTTTTTTAGAAAATACCTCGGGATTATTTCCAAGAAACATCAAGGATCATCTATTAATCGAAAAATGATATTACCAAATTAACATAAATACATATCTTTTAACGTCGAGTCAGAGACGTTGGAGCAAATGCCTTATTAATAGCGAATTCGGTAGCTTGCACTAGTGCGCACTGAGTGCGCATTAAGGCTTGTTTACAGTACATTCTTATATTTAAGATCGTGTCTTAAATACATATTTAAAAACATTTTAACTAATAAAATGATTCGTACGGATGTTATACATATCATATTATGTTTAAAAATATTTGAGAATTTATTTGAGAATTATTTAAGACAATTTTTAAATATAATAACATACTATGAACAAGCCTTAGTGCGCACTCAGTGCACACTAGTGCAAGCAACCGAATTCGCTATAAGTACTTCAAATCATACATTGAGAGGCAGGGAGGGGGAGAGTGAGAGAGAAATTCTGCGCTCGAAACGAGACGGGTATGGTGGGATTCGCGATACGTCGTGAGGCGGAACGAGAGAAAAATAACTGAGGTGCAGTAACTATACCCCTACCTTGTCCGACGCGTTGCGGAGGAGTGGGATGGTTGGTAAGATGATAATGGGCGACGGAGCCGCGTTGATAAAGTTCAGATATCGCGCGGTCGCGGCTCGTACATCGCCGTGAGCGCCGACACGTCGTTCGCCATCAACGAGTGAGAGGATCCTACAAGCGAGAGGAATTCGTAGGCCCGGAAGTTTTTGTGACGCGCTGAATTCGTGCTCATCCGTCCGTTCAATCGACCCGCTGGAGCGACTAACAGATCACGGAGGCCGCGAGAGAGGCAGCCGAGCGCTGTTGTGTTCGCAGAATCATCAGGACGTAAGTGCGCGGCAGTCTTGCCCGGGAAATGCCGTTGATGCGCGTAGTCGTGGCGCGCTAACGTTAAAATAGCCACGCCGGCCGACGATAATGCGGTAAAAATAACACCGCCAGATAATAAGATGTAATAACTGCGATATCTCGGAGCGACTGCCCGACACTGCACTTGGAATAATCTACGCGCTAAGATGCTGAAATAATTATTCCAAAGTATCAATTCTATCAAATTATTCTCTGCTTCTCCAAAATTACTATCTCGATATCAATATTTAGTTTATTCATATCTTTATATAAACATGTTATAAATATTATTATCATTCGTGGAAAAAAATCCGATTGAATTAACCATATGTCTGGTGAAATTTGAACGAACCGGACTTCCGACGCACGCGCTGAGAAATTACCAGAAGTTACAAAATTTCTGATTAACTAGAACTTGCAACTGTTTAAATTTGGTTCGTTCATATTTCACCAAATATTTTCTAATACATACATATGATTATCATAAATATATCATTATTGCAAATATTCTCCTGCACAAAATATCCATTATATTACGATGATTAATTTATTATATCTTTTAAATTGCGAGATTTCAGCATCGTTTGATTGTCTTAATTAATTTCTAATAAAAATCTAATTTAATTCCTTTGATTACCGCTTATTTTCTTCTTAAGCAAACAACGTCAGATTTTTCCGAAATTGTCTGAAGCTAAAATATTTAGAAGAAGCAGAGCAATGGCGATAAAGAGAATCGAACTTGACTCTAACGAGCTGTTGTAGCGTTTCATTGTATGATGGGCAATCCTGCTCAATTATCGAGCAATTTTGTAATTTAAGTGAAGTGAAAAACGAGTGACACTTCGCGATAACGAGTGATCTCGAAATTGACTCTGTAATGCCACTCTGGACGAAGTCGTTCTCAGTAAAATGTTGGAAAATTTTTCTCGTATTAATGAGTGTTTGGTCAACAACTGCATAGATCTTCTCGTAGCCTTATCAATTCTAGATAATTGATTTAGAGCGCCACGCGCGCACACTCCGCGGGCACGTAAAACGCAGATTCACGTAGTCACGTTCCATCTGCATGCGCGACATAAAATACACACACGCTGTTTACCCCGTCGTGTCTGTCTGTCTCTTTTCCTTTCGCGCTCGACCGTTATAACGTTAACAGTAACAACGCGCTTCTGCAGAAATTTATCACTTTTTTTCCTTCATTGCGTGATCTCGCTCTTCTTTTCTTTTTTCTTTTCCTAACGCGCAGCGGCGACGATGAAACGATGAAACGATCAAATCAAAGCTAACGCTTTTTCAATTCATGCGACTGTACTATGATCAGTCAAATAGATCAGTCAAATAATCAGTCAGTAAGTATAAATAGAGACTCAAATCTTATGTGAAGTATTTAAAGAAAAAAAGATAAGGTATACATACAAGATATAGGAATGAATCTTCCCCTTTTCTTAATTTTTTTCCTTATTGTCGTTAAAACTGCCAAAACAACTCGAACAACCTCGGAAGAATTGGCGGCTAATATTAATTTTGATAACACAAGAGCGACGTCTGGTGAAAACAAAGAATCGTCTTGTTGCATTCTTGCTTGGATGCTCGCAAAGAGATGTGCCACGTGTTCCTTTTCTTCTTTCCTGCCTTTAAACACGTGTATGTTTTGCAACAAAGAACTATCTTATCATTTCGCTTTGACGCTTTATATAATCTATTATTTTATCAAACAACAGACTGCTAGACGAGGTGTTACGTAATTAATCTTTTGTTTTTCACTGTGCATGGTAGACAGAAGCGAGATGGCGTGTCTTCTTGCTCTCTATTCTCAATGTTCTGTATTGAAAGGTTGTCCGTAATTTTTCAAGTAAGTTTATGAGCTCATCTGTCCTGTCCAATGAAAGCATCCCCCCATTAGAAAACGAGTTCTTCCATTGGACAAAATAGAGAGAGTTCATAAACTTACCACAAAAATTACGGATAACCTTTCTGCTCATGAATGCATATCAAAGGACATGTCAATTTAATGAAATACAAATAATTAATTAGTAATCTTTCGTACAAAATTTTCAGGATTTCAAAAGAAGAAAGAGAAGAAGAAGAAATCTTGCTCTAGTCGTCAAACATGGACAGTTACACGTCTGATTCGAGCGACTCGGACTCCAGCAAGACGCTGGACCTGTCGTACCTGTCGTTGAGCGCCGAGGAGCTCGACAAGCAGCTAATGAACGTTAAGTGGCCGGAACACGTGGATACGCTGTTGCTGAAGCAGAATCGCTTGAGCAACTTGCCATCCAGCGTCGTCAGATTCACTGGACTCAACACTTTAGATATCTCTGGCTGCGGTCTCAGCAGACTACCGGACTTCTGGCCAGACTGTCCGCTAACCTGCCTGATCGCCAAGCACAACCAGTTGACGAATGAGGGCTTGGTCAAGGCCTTCGAGAACTTGACTTCATTGCGGGAACTGAATCTCAGCGGCAATCGGCTCATCGAGTTCCCCGACCAGGTGTTCGACTTGGTGGACCTCAAGTATCTCTACCTCGGCGGCAACCTCATCAGCGAGATCACTGAGAACATCTGGAAATTGCAGAGGTGAAGTAGCATGCTCTAATTTGACGATTCGGCTTTCGCAATCGTTGTCCGAGTTTCGATGATAAGTCTCGAGGCCGTTAAAGGCTACCAAGCGCGGAGATATCCGTTCTAGGAAAGACGCGATAGCTCGTTCCAGAAATTTCGGTGGCTGAGAATCTCATCGCGTGCAAAATAATGGCGACCACTAATCGTTCCTTGAAATTCGAGGGCATTGAGATTGTTAATACAATGACATCGTCGCGAAACCGTTTTATTTGCGATAAAACTTTCAGATGTGTAATTAGAGACCGACATAATTTTCATTCACATTTAAACGATAAGCGCGGTTGAAGTAATATCCACGTTTACTCAAGATAACATCGCCGTGAATTTTTTGTGCAAAAAAGTGGGTAATCTTAACTCATTGAATTTACACGAATTTTAACGTGAATCTTAAATATGTTACGTTACGTCTGGATATCCAGCTGTACGATCACGTTGCTTGTGCATGCTCTCGTGTATCTTCTCTAGAATCAAGGTGAAGAGAGTCAAGGCTTTCTCTGTCTCTGTTTACAACGCGCAGCTCGAACCTGCAAATTTGATTTTCCAGTCAGAAATATAGTGAGAGAAAAAATATTTAACGTAGAGTATTGCTTCCATGATGTATAAATTCTAAATGAAAACGCAATTTATATTTAATTAATTTCACGATCGATCATAAAAGAGAAAATTTCGTTTCATAGTTTCTACATATTCAGTAATTTCATATATTAATTTGAAATATAAATTATCGGATACTTTGATACACAAAGTTGAGTAAACATTCGGTATCATCAAGTGCCTTTTGCTAGATTTCTTTGAAGAGAATCGGCTTCAACTTCGTCGGAAAAAAGATCGTCATTGGGGTATACGGCGGCTCTAATTGATTTACTTTTGATTTTCGCGATCGGTCTCGAGCAGTTGTCTAAATAGAGTTTCGACTCGTCGAAAGGTTGCAGGTGCTCTCGATGGGAGGGAATAGATTGTCGGAAGTGCCATCCACCCTCGGTCAGCTCAAGGTCTTGCAGGCCCTCGTTCTGTGCGACAACATGCTGGAGAGCCTGCCGAGCTCGATAGCTAACCTGACGAGACTGAAGTCGCTGTTGCTCCACAAGAACAGACTAAGAACACTGCCCACTGAGATCATCAAGTTGAAATGTCTGACGGAGGTTGGTCCGCAGAAAGAAAGAAACGAGACGATCGATTTAACGGCTCGCGTATCGCGTCGATCATGCATTCGCGCTGATATTGAAGACCTTCGAGAGAAGGTGACGTCGGGCGTTTTATCTTTCAGTTATCTCTGCGAGACAATCCGCTGGTAGTGAGATTCGTGTCCGACATGACGCACGATCCGCCGTCTCTGTTGGAGCTGGCGGCACGCGTTATTAAGACCAATAACATCCGATATGACGATGAAGACGTGCCACGGAACCTGTTGGAGTATCTCGACAGCGCACACAGTTGTGTCAATCCCAAGTGCAAAGGTCATTTCTCGAAATTTTTTGTTTACCGAGAATCTCTTTGTTCTTCTTTTATTCTTTTCCTCTCTCTCTTTCTTGCGGCAAAACTAGTTTTATATCAGTCCCCTCTGCATGACATATTTTTATTACGTATCGTCATATGTATTTTTATCATGTATGTGATACCTTTGTTTGCCGACTTTTGTTCGCTAAAGAACGTTCCGTTTTCCCGACACAGGCGTTTTCTTCAACAACCATGTGGAGCATGTTAAGTTCGTAGACTTCTGCGGCAAGTACCGCCTGCCATTGCTGCAGTACTTGTGCAGCAGCAAGTGCATCGAGCCACGCGATAGCGACGAGGAACTCGTGTGCGGTGCCATGATCAGGAAAGTTCTTCTCGGTTGAAAGCCCGAAGGAGACATCTGTGCGATGTCGAAGACCTCGGCGGGGACGACAGGCCGGCGAGTGTCTCGATCTTCGCTTCCTGCCTCCGGATTTCATTGATGGATCGGCGATATCTCCCAACTTGAACGTTTATATGCACGTACACATACACACACATTCATATACACACACATACACACACTCTCTCATGTTTATAATTTCTATTCTAAGTTAAACGATACGCGGTACAGCGAATGACGCAAGTACAATTCGACGTAATACAATAAATAAAATGTTTCATGCGATAAAACAATTTTTCCGTCGTGTTGTCCCCGTGAGCGGCCAAGAAGAGATAGAAGATCGCCGCGTTTTCGAAAGGGAGACTCTGCCTGACGCAGAAGAGGGACGTAAGGCGACGGTTAACATTATCGTTAATATTTTATTGTTAAATAAACCACAAAATGTACAGTAATAATAATAATAATAATAATAATAATCGTCATCATCATATTATATGGAGCCATTACGCGCCGTGAAGCTGACCTTCACTTTTGAAGCGGCGTAGCGACCAAGCGATACTCGCTTAAAACACATTCAGTAGAGTTATGCTACAAGGTATTTCGTCATCATCATCATTATCATTTTCTACGACGACGTCGTCGTCACGGTTAATACCTCTTCGCGACGACCACGCGCTCGTCGTGCGTTTTGTAAAACTAAAAAACATTCGAGAGAAAGACAAAACGGCGGAGGAGCGAAACGAGAACGGCGGGAAGAAAAGTTCGTAGGCGGGTAGACGGGTAGGTAAGTAGGTAGGTAGGTAACTAGGTAGATAGGTAGGTAAGGTGGTGTGTGTATTTATAATTATTTATATTTATAGGACATCATTATATAATAATCATAATCATAATCATAATAATCGTCTCATAATTGTAAACATAGCAATCGTATTAAGAGCTTTGCTACTTTTTTTCTCTTTTTCTTCTGTTTTTTATCCTTTGTTACCGCGTACAGTGTGTAGTCAGTATAATTACCTATACATACATATACATATTCATATATATAATAATAATATATATGCGCTTTTTATCTATATATTACATACATATATATGTATGTACATGCTCCAGCTTCTTTCCTCTCCCTCTCTCTCTTTCTTTCTCTCTCACTCTCTCTTTTCCTCTCTCTCGCTCTCGCCTTCTCTCTTTCTCTCTGCCGATTCATCCGCGAACGTACTTTCATTTCAGACACACGCGCGCACGCACGCACGCACGCACGCACGCATGCACGCACAACCTCTCTCACCCTTGACTCACCCCCTTGAATTAGCGCGTTTATCATAGGCGTGTGTTTCTTTTGTTGTTTCTCGCACGGTAGTAACTAGCACTAATCTGTTTACTTCTTTTTCATTTTTGTTTTTCTCTTTAATCATAACGTCGTCTTTTCCCTTCTCTCCCACTCCCTTTCCTTTTTTTCACTCATATCTTTTATATATAACTGCGTAGTAAATAATATTTTTCGCTTACGTGTGTATATTTCTTCTGTATCTGTATATTTTGTATGTCTGTGTGTGTATGTATGTGCGTGTCTGTGTGTATGTGGTATTCGCTATGTATATTAAACAATTTTTTCCCTAATATCGTACATCCAGGAGTTTAACATTAAAGACTCACTGCGCGGTCGGGGACGCTTCGTCATCGTTTTATCGCTCGTAGTCATTATTATCCCGAGTTTCGTCTTCGGCATCGTCGTGCTCGTCGTCGTCATAGTCATCGTCTCCGTCGTCGCCCCGACCCGCTCGCGACGCGATCCGTCGTCTCACCCGGTACACGCTGCTCTCCTTTATTCGCCGTCCACCACCTGCTGCTCCTGCGCCTCCTGCTCCTTCGCCTCCTTGGCGTCCTTGTCTTCCTCTAAAACGCGACATTGTCCGGTATAAACTCGGCCAAGTCGTGGCAGCATGCTCTCGTCGAATCCGGCCTGTCTGTGCCTCTATTGCGAGCCGATTATCTCCTCGACGAGAAGCTCACGCGGGACCGAAGGGGCGTGCTTGGGGAGATTGTGGACGAAAGTGATGCGTTACGCTCTTTGAAAAATGTATCTCTTGTAACAAACGACGAGAGGCCAAGGAGGTCAGGAGGAAGTCCGAGAGAACCGAGTGTGACTTCGTCTCTCCCTCTCTTGTTGACGTTGAAGTTTATTTCACAATTAACATTGCGATGTCTTTCATCCACCCCTTCGAGCCCTCTCCCCGACGAGAGGATCCACCGATCGTCCGAAGAGTTTCTCGTCGTATACCCGACGAAGCAATAATTGCGCATTGGAACCTTGGCGAGGCATGCTTGCATAATAATGACTGTACGTATTGTCAGGTCAGATAGATCGGTTAGAGTGCACAGACAGCGTCATCGAAGATATCGCGAGGTGATAACGAAGCCCGCGTAGTGACCGCATCTGTCATAGGGTGTCCCAGAATTCGTGGGAGGTAGATAACGCCTTTCGTGCAATTTGAAGCCTAAACTTATAAGGAACATTCTTATTATTGTTAAGATCCTTGAATAATCTTGAACTAAAAGTTCAATTTTAAGGAGAGGCTTTTTGAGGGGGGGCTTCTGTGAAGTGGGTTTGCATCGGGGCAAAGAATAACTCGAGATCTGGCGACGAGTGAGACTTCTCTTCCTGAGGTCTCCTCAGATGAGTGCTCGTCTCTCCCAAATTGAGAGCTCGACGACGACGAGGCACATCCGAGGTGGTTCTGGGACACCCTGTACAGCCAAACCGAATCGATTCCTTAATTCGTACACAATGAAGGGAGGCGTCGTCGTGAGAAAATGGTGATTGTGGGAGGGGATCGTGAGAAAAACCGCCAGCCGACCTTTCATTTTTCGTCTCTCATCGTTTTAATGAGTGCCTTCGATTTGAGAGGTAATCTCACCGCGCTGCTAACGGGGGATCCGGATCGCCGCCGGATCCCGAGATCTCGGCGCGAGCGTGAGCGCGCTTCTGAAGAGGATGTCCTGGCAAACCGGGCGTCTCTCCCGTATAAAGAGGCTTCGCCGAGAGAACAAAGCGGTATCGTCGCGAGACGAGGCCAGCAGCAAACAGTAACACGCAGCATAATAGTGTTGCAATTTCCCACTCAATAACAGAATTTACACACAAAATGTGCCATTAGGTCGGTACAAAATATTTGTCAGTTTTTTATAATTCCAGCAGGAAGTTTGGATAAAGGAAAGTGGGAAAAGCTCTTGAATTGAGTAGTCTTAAATTTCTAAGAAACACCGAGTCAACGTCTATATTACTCGTAAAACTCATCGATCTCTTGAAATTGGATAATTTATTTCTTGATAAGCCTTTTGCACCAACATAATATACACAGCGTGTTATATTTCAGTAAGAAATTACGCGATATACATTGCGATACACGCCATGTCATTTTAGAGTGGGAAATCACAAGATGGATGTAATGTTACTGTTGGTTGGTGTTTATCGGGAAATCGCTAATTAAACTAGCGACTTTGTCCCGGTCAGACTACCACACGTGATCTTCGAGATACCGTGGGGATATCTGTCGTTTGACGCGTGGCACACACGCACGCACGCACGCACACTCATACACATACGTACATTATGCGCGCTGTGTTGTAACAATCGGCTTACATACGATACGATTTTCTCAGGAGAACAGTGGAAGCTGAGAGACAGAGTGCTGCTCCTCGTCGATACATCATGACGATTTAGCGTTTCTTACCTTATACGGACAATAGCGTGCGAGCCGCAACGGAAATAACGTCACGGCCGAGGCGTCGTTAGCGATGCGAGAGCGATCATGTATCCGATTGATGCAAAAAGTTCTCGGCAACGAGATCTCGCCCGCGCGAACTAATTTCAACGGTTAAACGGCGTGACAATTGAATTCAGCAATTGTACAACGAGTAACGAGGTCATTCGCGTGAGACGTCAGTCCCGCGGGAACTTCAGTTTCCGTGGAGAGAATTATCTTTCTCTCTCTCTCTCTTTTTTGACTCTATCGATCGTCCCTCGCAGCACTCTTTTCATCCGGCGAGACGCGTCTCTGCCTCGGTTCTCCCTACGAAGTCTCCGAGGACTCAAAGTGATCTCAAGCGTAATCTTAACGGGGGAACAAGCTAACTTGCACCAACTCGACACGCGTGCACACACACGGCGCGCATACATACATATGCATACACGCCTAACACACACACACACACGCACATGGCACATACACACGCGTATATGTACATATTAAATTAGTTTATTAACTTTTTTCTCTCTTTACACAATTGTTACACTTCAACCGCTGCGCCACGGGTAAAAGGGCGCTAACGATGACGCGGAGCGGGGGGGAGGAATAAAAGGGAGAATCCGTGGATGAGATGCTGTTTTTTACGAATGAGAGAGAGGTGTGCTCGCTCGGACGAGCGAGAGCCTCTTTCTCGGTCGATTTCTTTACAACAGTAGCGACGTCGTTTTTTTTTCTTTTTCTCTCTCTCTCTTTCAACGTCTCGTTATTATCATTATTATTATTAAAATTGATCCGCATACGTACACACACACATATGCGGATATCAACGTTATTTTATACATATACGTAATTTTTTTAATATACTTTAATGCAGATCGATCGCAGTATTCGTTCGTTCCCGACAGATTATCCCGTCTGCGTCGCGCGCTTCAAACAATCGAGAAGGGAAAAAAGACAGAACGAAGGAAAAGGCAACACGACGAACGAATCCGTCGATCGATCCTAATATTTTATATAGAACTTTCGATATTTTTACACTATAGCTCTTCTCTCGCATCGACTTTTCTCGGAAATGCTTTCTCTCTTCGCGCTGAGATGAGATATGAGAGAGGTACAGAGTATATGAAAGAGAAAGAGAGAGAGAAATTAATGCAAACCAACTCGATGAATTCATTTATTAATAATAATAATAATATTAATAATAATAATAATAATTATGATAAATAATCAACAATCTATACTCAAACTGTGCGATTCGATGCTCGTGCGTTGAGGCGCGCGTCTGAGATGATTCAATCGTTTCGCAGAATGCAGATTCGCATCCGATCTCTCTCTATCCGAATTCTCAGATGTCGTGCGATATTTGAACGCAAATGTCGCGCCTACGAAGGAGTGTGAATGCGGGTGGAAACCGGTGTGATTCACCGTCGAGACACTGCTACAGTCGGCGATATTCGCGACGATCTTCGGAACAGATGGAAAGTCGCGATCGCGATTTTCCTTCTTTCCAAAGATCCAGACACATTGCCATCTTTCCGCCCGGCGACCAAGCCTGTGGACAGCACAAAAGACGTTTCAAAGGACGTCCGAAGGAACGCAGGACATCTCTTGGACATCCTTTAGAACTCGGTGCTGGCCGGGATAGAACACGCGCGCGTTAATTTGTGTTATCGTCGATCGTTATCGACGAAGAGAACGGCAAACCGGAATTACAAATGAAGATATACACATATAAATAAGCACGCAGAACGAGCTAGCTAATTACGTGCAATGAGTTTGGACAACGACTCGACGGGCTCACACCGGTTTCGATCCTCTGGTGTGTATCGCCTAAAAAGAAAAAAGAATATGCCTCGCGACGCGCGCTGATAGCGTTTCTGCACGAATTATCGACGTGGTGATCGAAGTCGATCAGTGTACAGCTAGCTACCTGGCTAGCTATCTCTCCCTCTCTTTCTCTCTCTCGTCGAAGACTTGCAAAAATGCGCCGCTCGAAACGATTGGATGATCGCTTCTTCTTCTTCTCCTCCTATTTCTTCTCCTCTTCTTCTTCTTCAAAAACTCATATAAACGTCAAATAATCCAAAACACCTAAACTGATCGACTAACAAACCAAAATTCCGTTCGAACATAATCGATTTTACTTTGACGATGCGTTCATATCAATGTGATATTTTTCTCATCTCGCTTTCTCGAGAACTCGTTCAATTCCCGGCATTCGACTCGGAAAAAGGCGTCGTCGACGCGACACGGCGATCGTCTCAGTCGTCTCGAGCGTAGTTTTTTTTCTCTTAAAAAAAAAAAATCATCTGTACATCGATGTGTTTGCGTTATTACAAGTTACCGCAATCGCGTTCGACGTCATCGACAGCTCGCCTGACGACTCGACCGTTCTTTTTTCTGCTTTCTATTGTTCAACCTGACTCAACGACGAAGTGCTTGGCTCCTGACTACTACTACCACCACTACTACTACCACTACCGATACAGTGGATACGCACAATGTCTCAAAATTGCACAGAGCCGCTGAAGAAACAAACGATTCGCAGAAACACGAGTTCACGGTCGGTCCCAGTTAGGTGGCAAAAAAATGAACCTCAGAATGTTTCTCAGGGGCGCGTCAGTGAAGCATTTGTTATGGCAGTTGGGGGTTAAACGCCTTCAGTGTTCTGTCGAAGTCGCGAGAACGTCACTCGAATATAACGATTTCTTTTTTTGATTTCGGTCTCTTTCTTTAGTTGTTTTGGATCTTTCAACTGTATTTTTCCTTTCTCTTTGAGTTCGGAAGACATTCCAAGAAGCGCGTCCTACTGTGGTACTATCCCTTCTAGAAAACCGATTGAGGGATGGGGGACAATAGCCGACGACGGTGATTTCAATTAAAACTAAACGAGGTTTACCAACTAACGAAAAAACAAGGAAAAAAGAAATAAAGAGAGGGAAAGTTAATAGTTAAAAAAAGAACTTAATTCATACTTTTCAACATCAATAAAACTCTAATTTCGAGGTTTCCCTTCTCACGCTTTTCCCTCTTCCTTCTTAACACATCGCTCATTCTCTTCTCTCTCTCTCTCTCTCTCTCTCTCTCTCTCTCTCTCTCTCTCTCTCTTTCTCATCAAGTCGCGCACTCTCATCTCATCTTCGTCTTGAATTTTCGCGAAAACAAGTCCGCTCAGCATTACAGAATCAGGGAATCTGTCGTTAAACTCGTCGTTATGATCGTGAGACAATCTGCTGGTGTGTGTATGATGTGTGTATACATGTCGATGACATGTCGTCGCCTTAAAAAGTAAATCGCTCCGCTGGATTGGTCAGTAGAGGTTCGTCATGTGGGGGTAAAAAGGAGAAAAAAAATAAAGAAAAAGACAGGACAATTTTGAAGGACGAGAGTCCGAGAAAAATCGCGCGGAAAGTGCATGCAATAAACGACGACTCGGCGATGCCGGTCAAGCGATGCGGTTACATCGCGACGCTGAGTGCGTGAGAAAAAATCGACCGTCCTGAAGGAGTATATAATGATAAGCGGCGACTCAAAGAGCGCCATCGACACACGCAGGCAGACACACCGCGTCGCTCAACACTCTCCCTAGATCACGTCAACGCATCTCTTCGCTCGCACGTTTGTCTGAGTGTAACATAAGAGTGTTCTTCGGGATGATAAAACGGGACGTTATGTTTGTTTGTCTGTCTGTCTGTCATAGGCGTTGTTCTCGATGTTGCCGTTTCACGTTGACTCTCTATCGTTGACTTCGAGTCTCCAGGATCACTAGAATGAGACGAGTCAATTGCGCGACAGTCCTCCCTGATCGTCTTCCTGATCGAACCGATTGTGCAGTGCTTTAACAGAAAGTCACGTTACCGTCAGGTCGTTGGACTATTGTGTGCATGAGTTAAGCTGTCTTCCGATCAGGTTATCGTCATTGTGATCAAAAAAGAGCAGTTTCTACGCGCGCGCACTGGGAATTCGACTCGACTTCGCAGAACGGTTCATTCGCTGAATCATTGACGCGGTTTCTCTTTTTCTCTAATAATCGTCGGTGGTCTGTTTCTTCTGTTGCTTTCGCAGAGAGTGCCCAGAGACGTTCGGTTATATGTCTTCTTAGGTTCATACCTTTAAATTAGTGTCTCTTTTAGCAGTTAAAGAGGGACCGGTTTCTTTATGTACATTACATCCGACTCGACATCTCGAAACGTAAACGGAGGCCATCGAGCGGTGATCGCAGGATGATCCTTCCGCCGCGAACATCGAGAGAAAGCCGATCTCTCACAGCCGGTGTGCCTCAGAACGTTAACGTGCCGGTGTTTTGAAATGTTAACATCACGTCATTTGGAACGTTATACATACACACGTGGATCTATTCGGCTGTGATCTTCAACTACAGTTGCGTTTTCAACGCGATTATCGTGACTAAAGGCGGCGGAACCGGTGCCTACACACACATATATATATATATATATATATATATATATATATATATATATATACACATACATACTGTGAATCGACTCGGCGGCAAGGACAAGGTGCAGCGTTGCAAAAGCTTTGCACGATGGTCGTAGTGTCTTACGAAAACGTAACACGCTACTAAACGTCGGATTACACATCTTCCTCCTGCTCTTTCCTCTTTCTTTAACTAGACCTGCGGTCTAGCGGTTTGGCGGTTATTAAACATTACTAAAAGTGAAACCGAATATTTCTTTCTATGTACATACACACCGAAATTCGCGACTTCGACGGAAGGGCGGGTAGCAGCTCGCAACACTCCCGTCGTAATCATCACGCGCTCTTCTTCTTTCTCTCTCTTTCTCTCGCGCGCTTTCTCTCTCTCTACATGGGAAAAGTTGTGAGAATCTTACAAATCTATACGCTGTTTCGGGGCAGTGGTGGTACGACCACCCTCTGCTCGATTAATTAATATCGCATCGAGAAATTCGCATTCCTTCGTACAACAAGCGCGGACATCCTCGTCAGAAGGTTTCTTTTCCCCTGGGGGGGAGAAAGGGGACAGGGTAGACGATCAACACCGCATCCACCTTGAACGACTACTTACACTCTAACACTTTGATATAATAACGTTAGAAAAGAAAGAGGATAAAGGGGGATGTTTGGGGATGTTGATTGGGGAGAAAGAAATCAAAGAAAGAGAGTGATGAAGCGACTGGTAGTGGCTCAGGCCATGTTCGACTGGCCAGGATTGTCGGTGTTATGGGTGGTGTTGGTGTTGGTGTTGGTCGTGGTGGTGGTCGTGGTGGTGGTGCTGTTGGGATTGGCGCTAGAGTTATCGCTAGAGTTACCGCTGGCGCCCGCCGCGCCGCCGACGGCGGCGCCCGTGGCCTCCGACTGGCCGCCTCCGCCACCACCGCCACCGCCGCCGGGATTCTCCGTGGACGATTGCATGTACTTGGGTATCAGCATGGGGTTGAGCACAGGCTGGATCCGCAACTCGTGCTCGGTGAAGTTGAAGAGCGGCGGCAGCTCGCGGCCGTTCGGCAGCCGCGTGCCTTGTTCGCGCAGCTCGTGGAAGAACGAGTGCGCGCACGCCTGCAGCGGCGTCATCCGCAAAGACGGCGTATATTCCAGCAGCCGTGCTACCAGATCCATCGCTTCCGGCGGCGTACGCGCCCTGAACACCTGTAAAAGGGAGAGCCAACGTTCAGGCCGTTGTCCAGAGATTGTTGCCATTTTTCTTCGTTTATTCGTTTGGTCATTTGATAGTCTTTTTCTTTTCTTCATTGTTGTTGTTCCTTGCGAACCGTCTTTTATCTGCTCTTGGTTAACGTAAAACAGCATGAAACACAGGACAAAATAATGCAAATGTGAATGTCCGTGTATGTGAGTGTGTGTGTGCGTGTGTGTTGCACGACACGTGTATCATCAATCTAAGACGAGCAACACTACAAAAGCACTGTATTCTCTTCGCGTGAACAAACACACGAAAGGCCACTACTCTGCCACAACAACAATCTGTGTTAACCGAGATCTCACAGTAAGTCAAGTTGAAGACAAACGTAAAAGTTGCAAAAGAAATACCACCGGAATGTCAGAGCAAGTGATACTATCTTTCTCTCTCTCACTCTCTTTTTCTCCGCTTTCAGCCGCGACAGCAGATTGGGCGTTACAACAAAAGTCGTTAGTAACGTTAGCAGCTTTTGCTTATTGAGAGTATACAAGGTGAGTGAATCACAAGGCATTTGCGTGCGTCTCAATAAGGAGAATCATATGATAGAAATGTAATCGAGCAGCCTACTACTCTTTCTTTCTCTCCCCCGGCTGTCTTGTACTCACGTTTCGTGAAAAGCATGAACTTCGTCTTCCAAAGTCGCATAGAGCTTCGTTCGACTCACGATCTGCATTCTCGAAACGTCCCGATCGAAGACGGCTGGGAAAGACGATCTTTGACTGATCGCAGCGATCAAAGATGATCTTTTTATCGCGCGTTTTTCTTGGTTTTGTACCTTAGATAGACCGTCCGGGCAGCGAAATTGATGACTGTTACACTCTGGGTGTTAGTAGAACGGGCGGAAGAATGAAGAAAACGTTTGTGCTAGCCAATATCGAACAACACGTTGCAAGTGGTACCACTTACTCTGATCTTCTGGTGCTCCGTGGAACACATAGGTGCACTCATTCGCTGAAGCATATACTGCAAACCACGAGTACACATGTACTGATGAATGATACTTCGACGATCGAGGCGCCTCTGGGCCCTAGTCGCGCGGGGCGGTACAGTGGGAGAAGGAGAGGGAGGTAGTTTCCAACGTTAAAAAGCTACTTCCCTCGCCCTTCCCGGTGAGTGCGCGCTGAATAATTCCATCCACATGCAATGTTATCGTCAGGTTCGATCCTACCTTTTTTCTTTTTTTTTCTTTTCACTACGCGACAATCGAAGAGTTTCTTTTTTCAGATATTTAGGACTCGAGACGAGAAGGAAGATGATTTTTGTAGAATTCATTACGCGTTTGTCAAAACATTTTCAAAGCGATTCGGGGAGAAGAGAACTCTTCGATCGTCGAGCGCGAAATCTTAGTCACAGAGTTGCTAAACACGCGAAACTAAACGAAAGGAACACAAGATGATGAGAGATGTGTATGTATATTTGTATGTATGTGTGTGTTGTGTGTTACGAATTGCTGTCGATAAACGTTGTGTGCACATGTGTGTTTCAGAGACCATAGAGAGATGACACGGAACGAGATGATACAATGAAGTTTAACTCGTAAATAGAGAAAAGTGGATTACCTTCTGCCAGGGATGTGACTTAATCTGTGGAAATTTGAATTCGGTATAGTTGGGGTTCATCTCACGTATCTGATCGCGTGTAGGCGTGCCGAGGACTTTGATAATCTCAACAAGCTGGTCGACGCCACTGTCGCCAGGAAATATCGGCTGGCCGAGTAGCAGTTCCGCCAACACACAGCCTGCGCTCCATACATCTGTCGGGAAAACAAGAGGAACGTTATATTTTACGGAGAGGAAGGAAGAGAAGGTCTCGGTCGGCTATGAGGTACAGGCGAGAAGGTACCAAGCCTTGACATGGAAAGAAGATAGTTACCGCATCGACTTTGCAACTCGGAACACGATCAGGCTTACCGATCTTCGTGGTGTAGTCGATAGCACCAAAGATGAGCTCAGGCGCGCGGTAGTAGCGACTGCAGATGTAAGACACGTTAGGTTCACCCTTGACCAGGTGTTTGGCCGAGCCGAAGTCGCAGAGCTTCAGGACGCCCGTGTTCGGGTCCAGAAGTAGATTCTGCGGCTTGATGTCCCTGTGACAAATGCCCAGCGAGTGGATATACGCCAGCGAACGAAATAGTTGATACATGTACAGCTGCAAAGAGAAAACGACGACGTTCACTTGGAGGGAATATACTTCGCACAGGAGTTTTGCGAATGCGTGCTTCTTCCGTCTCTTCCTTCTTCCGCATCGCTCGAGAAGACACTCACCTTGATGTAACTGATTGGTATCGTCTGCTTGCTTCTGCTATAATGTCGGGCGACTTTGTACACAGTTTCGGGTATATATTCCAGGACTAGATTGAGATAAACCTCGTCCTTCTAAAAGAAAAGAAAGAAAGTGAGAATGGGAATTCCGTCGCGAGATCGGCGGGCGGGAGCTGTTTAAGGTCTACGAGAGTATGTCGTCTCTATCAAAGGTATACTACTCCAAAACCAAACATTGTCGCACGCGGCGCGACGCGTTCATTGTGTGCACCATTGTAGAAGTACACATAAGGTGTCCCACGATTCGCGAGTCGAGATCTCAACAACTACTTTCTCGCCAGTGAATCTGACAGAACTTGACTTGCAGAATCTTCAACGTCACTCGTTTCAAATCATGAAACCCTCATTAAATCAGAATCTCATTGTGAGACTAACGGGGAAAAAACAATTTCACCGATCAAGAGTCACCATATATTTGAAATTAGTGATTTCTCGAAATTTTCATGAAGGAAAAATTGATCTCGACTCTATTTAAAAGCTTCCAGTTAAAATCGAATAGTTTATGATAGCTCGGGACACCTCGAGGAACGCGTTGTTAAGCGTTTAACTTGACGTTACAGCCTCTTTTGGACACACACACACACACACACACGTACATAGCCTGATGTTATTAACATTTAATTAACGCACACATTCGAGGATGTTACGTACTATAAACGAGACTAGCGAGAAGCAGCGTTAACTAAATCGAACTTTGTGAGAGAACGAATGTGTGGTAATATCTTGATCGTGAGAGATGTCGTTGGCAGGGCAATTATTACGATTGTGATTATTTATATATGCGCCGGTGATCTGTCGCGCGCGGGCGGAAGCGAGCGAACTTCGCCTAAACTCGCGGCCAGAGAAAATTTTCTTTCGAAGGGACTCTCTCTCTCTCTCTCTCTTTCTCGCAAAGCTACTTGGTGGGCTTGCGCTTTTGTTCAACTTACGTCCACGTGAAAAACCGGATTAGTCGCGTTTAAGATGTTCTACAAAAAAATAACATAACAACAACAGTAGCATGCATTAAAGAAGACGAGTGGGCAGACTGCGGTGTGTTTCACTCGCGGGCACACACGCGCGCGCGCGCGAGAGTTCGTTACGCAACGAAAGAATTGCTAATAATTGCAACAGCGATAATCACGACAGACGTACGCGCGCGTGAGTCGACGGAAGCTCTATCACCGCACTATCACCGGTCATTCTCAAATTCCGGTCTTCGTTTCCTCGAGAGATACTCGCGATCTGAATGGACAACGCGATAATCGGAAGAAGTATCGTAGAGGGAGAGACTTAGAAATAAGATAGTTACCTTATCACCACTAGAGTAAAAGAAATATTTGAGTTTCACGATGTTGCAATGCTCGAGTCGGCGCATGATTTGTAATTCCCTGTTCTGAAAAAAGAAGTACAAATGTCACAGTTAAAACGATCGATAGATACGCGATACTTCCCGCGGTTCGTCACGTTTATTAGACGATAATACGATCTGTAAAACTGATACAAGAGGTTTATCGTATTTCATAGAATTGAAAATGAAATTATCTTATCCCGAAGTATTGATAATTCTTATGAATAAAATAAGCAATATTGGTTTGATATTTTTTTCAGGCACGAACAAGGTTTTCTTTTGTTTTATTTTCAATATCCATATCTTTGATTTTCTACAAGTCAGAATTTAATAGAAAAACGACAAATTTAACATTTTACACTGTCAATTATATTTAGTTGATCTGAAATAACGATAGAGAAGAACCGAAAGAATTATTTAAACATCGAACTCCAAGAATCTTATAAAAGATGGACTTGGTTAGATGGCGTGCAAGTATGTGGATGATTGATTGACATGGTGCGTGAGTTTGGAATAATTTTAGTATATTGGGTTAAGTATAGGGATTCAGATAGGGGAAATTATGTAGGGATGAGTACGCGTGTAAGTAAAGACGAAACAAGGTGTTAGGTAGAAAAACAGGATTCAGAGTGGAAAAGATGCACAGGTAATAGAGATTATGGCATCATAAAGAACGGATAATTGGGGTTGTATAAGTAATGTAGGTAACCTTAAATTAGCATGATAATGCAGAGGAAATTATCGGTAGAGGAAATGTATAATAGGTGATAATAGAAGACAGAAGTGTACACAACAGACATAGGGAGAAGAGAATACAAGAAAAATGAAGAGGAAAGGTTCGGTCATCGGATAGAATAAGAAAGAATAAGTAAAGGTGAAGAAGAAAGACACAAGGACTGATGGGACAGGTGCTGTGCAAGTGAGAAAATTAAAGTGTGAAGTAAACTGAAGGAAAATACACTTGTACTGAATTGCACAAAAGAAAAACGGCTCTTCGTGAAATAAAAATTCGTTTTATCGTTATGTGCCTTTCTTTTCTTTGAATCACAAATTAACCACGACAGTCGACTCTGAAGGAGCGAACAAAGAGACTCTTACCTTAAATCGCTTATCCTGAAGAACCTTCTTGATAGCGACCAGCTCGCCGGAGTCGCAAAGCTTAGCTTGGTACACCACGCCAAAGCTGCCATTGCCGATTACTTTAGTGTCTGTGTAGGCGACCTCTTGGGGACGATCCGGTCCGGCGCCGGGAGTTGCCACGACGGTCGTCACCTTGCTGCCATCCTTGCCTGCATTGTACATCGCACCACCCATAGAAACAATCGGAAAACACCGAAACGCTACAGTACAGCGAAAGTAAAGGAAACGGAAAGTCGAGCTCTCCCTGAGAGATCTAGGAAAAACTTTTTAAAAAGCGAAAAGTGACCAAAAGCTAAGAAGTTGGAAGAAATTGCGAGAGAATGGAGTGAAAAGAAAAAAAGAGAGAAAATGCGACAATATCATGCAATCAGAGATTTCGTCGAGGAGATTGCAAAGCGTGAAGGCAGATCGATTATCATGCGATCGTGACGATTAAATGCAACGTGTCGACTAGCGATTAAGCGCGAGCGATCGAATAGCCGCTTTTAAAGCAGCCGAAAGTAATCTTTTCACCAGAGAACTTATCTCTGGATCGTCCTGAATCACTGGACGTTTTGGGGAAGTAAAATCTTCAATTAATTTTCGCATCCACAGCGTTCATATGAATTTTTTCCTTTTGATTATAACATCTAATATCTGATGTTATTCCTTATCTGAACGGGAAAGTGTGTAATCTGACAAGTCTGGCCGACAGATATTAAGTGAATGAAATGAAAAAGCAATTTTTTTTATCAAAGAGCACATCTTTAAATTATCGTTTTGCATTTTGAAACGCTTTGGAGAGATAAACACTTAATTTTCTCATTCATGACTTACATAAAGTTTATCTTTCAACTGATGTCTGATATTGCTCCTCATGTTAACAGGGAAGATAATCTGACAATTTCGTTCGATAAAATTGTCGAAGGTAGCCACAATTGGCAGCGAGACTGGAACGTCAGAATAATGTCAGAAAAAACGTGATCGTCCGTTCCGTGAAAAAAAATCCGAGGAATCGCGATTCCGGAAAGCCGTTACACAAATTACTCGGATCCGCAGCCGCTGCTATTTTCACGTAGTTCTCGGACACGGGCCTACATACGGCGACCAGGAATAGCCTAATCCTTGATTTGTTTTCGCGCTGCGCGCACCATCGCGACTGACTCCTCGGACTTCCCACTGTCGCAAATCGTAGCTTGATGGAGAAAGCGTCGAAATGCACGCACGTACCTGCGACCCTAATTTTCACGATCGATTTCATGCTCGATCCTGCGGATCGGAAACGAAAACTACGAGAAACTCTCTCGAAATCGGATCTCCGCCGAGTGAGGTCGAAAGGGTGACAGGGGCTGCCTGAAATAAATTTCGCGAAAAGAATCGCGTCAGAAAGAGATAGGATTCGCGTATTTTTTCCAGCAAAAAGGAAAACAAAGCGTTTACGTCGAACGCGTATACCGGGTGACCGCGTGCTCTATTCGGAAGCGTTCTACGTCGACATTACGTGTGTAGCCTTGATGAATTCTGACAAACGTGCTGGCGTTGTCGAAGCACCCGCTCTGGCCGAGGCAACCGGTTTTTCCGCGAGAGTTTGCGCTGCCGATGTGTATAAACTTCTCTCTCTCTCTCTCTCTCTCTCTCTCTCTCTCTCTCTTTTGCTCTCTCTCGCGAAATTGCACAACACACGCGCATATCGGCCGACCCACAAGGGCCTTGGCCGGCGATTATTTGTATTCTCGGTTGTCAATGGTGTCCACCTGCGTCATATCCACGCGCGTATCAGTCTTCTTTCCGTCAAACGTCACGGTCTTCATCTCTTCCACTAAAAATGGAATCGTGTGACACGGGTGTGCGGTTATTTTCACGCGGGACGCATCCGATATACTCAGAGTGATCATAGGCCGGGGTTGATTCATAGTCGAGATGTTCGCTAAAATAACTCAGATACACACATCGCGGCGGCACACTGTCGTGCGTGTACAGTTGTATAAAATTGAATACACTGTAACATAGTGGCTAATGTCACTAGGCGCACGCACACGAAATCAAAGCGATCCCTAACGAGGAGAGCCAACGAGAGCCGAACGGGGGAGTGACGCGGTGCCAACGAGAGAGAAATCGCGCTCCATTAATCACGGCGAGGGTAAACACGGGTTAAATTAAGTTGTATGGCTACGTACAAGATTAAATATGATGCACGTTTAACGCACACATCGTCATGAACTGACGTATAATATTAAATATAAAATCGCGACAAGAAGACGAGATGGATTTACTCGAGAATGAGAGGCAGAGTTTCCAAATTAATTCAATTTTGTTCTTAATATATTAGTTTTGCAGTAGACCTGACAATCCCATAGATACGACCGAGTAAGTGAGTGAGATTTGGCTCGAAGAGAGGGTGCAGAAACGTAGATGACGCAAGAGACGTTAGAGGGAGTCGTCGTCGTGCGTATAAGAAGGCAACAGTATATATAAAAAGATAATAAGCGTTTGGATTCAACGCAAGCGGAATATACTGAGAAATCCTATATTACATCAGTATCTTTAATGGAAGGGAGGTTAATTGGACGTGAAAACCGTCAGTAAAATCGCGGATGAGACGATTGCGCGAATTCGATGACGCGGTTAAGAGGCAAACTTCCCGGATTGGATCACCTGTTTCGTCGTCCACGACGGGCGTGCGCAAGGATTTCGAGCGGCCAATGCAGCGAACGACCTGTCGCCACGTGGACGTGGACGCCTTGTCTTCTGACATGATCGGGACATTTTTACAATTCTCCCATTAAGATCGAGAGAACAAAGGATTCGCGTCGCACTTCGCGCGGTCAGACCAATCGATTGTTTTTGTCGCAGGAAAAAGTAATCAGAGGATGCTATGTCAGATGAATACAATGGATGAGGAAAAACATTCTTCATCAAAACTTCAGCAATTTTTGCCGCGCAAAGAAGTATGAAGCTTGGCATCGTGATGGAAAATGACGCAGAACTTTTTTAGTTCCTTGTGACTGTCAATGACGGAAATACCCGCAAAGATAAAATTAACCAAAAGTGCTCATGACGGGAAAAAATATTCGCACAGTCAGGATACTTATGCCAGAGCAATCAGAATGGAATATAATATTTTTGTTTTAAGATACGCCACTTTAAATTTTGAAATTTTTATCTCGATCCTCTCTGTTCAGAGACCAAGTTAAGACCAGCAAACAGCCTGGGGGGGCAAATGAGGCGCATATGCACTCTATATACGGCGATCTTGCGTATTTCTAAATAAACAAACATCCCCTCTCTTGCTGTTTTCGATAGCAAGTCCCGGGGGAGAGCGAGCGTAGTATAACGCAGGGCAACATCGCAAGGGAAGTGGGTCAAGCGGTTTCTTCTGTCGCGACTAGAAAATCCAGCCGGCTGTTAGCCGGCTAAATCCAGAAGCGCGGTGTGCGCGCAAAAAGTGCAACGAAGCGGCGATGGATGCAGCAACAGCATCATCATCTATATCGGAGAGGAGGGGAGATGGACGCGCGCGCGACCAGCCGGTGCAACGAGAGTCCCTTTTATCGCGTTACGCGCGCATCGGGGGAGATTGCGACCTTTCGCCATTTGCCCGAGCAACCCCTACCTGCGAAGCAAGAGAGAGAAAGAGAGATCCTCGGAGTAGAGCCTCGTCCTCTCCTCCCGTCAGTGGCATTTCGCGCGGCTTAAAGAGATTGACGTTATATCGAGGATCTTCCCTCTCTCTCGCTCTCCCTTTCTCCCTCCCCCTTCTCTCTTTCTCTCGCCTCGTGGGTGTCGACGCTAATCGCGCTCGGTTTAACGAAACGGTCAGATGAAAAAGGGATTAATCGAGCCCGAGGAAAGGGCGGAACAAGTTTTCCTCTTTGCCCGCCAGCCGAGGCCCCTTCGCGATCAAGTTTCGCGCTACGATTTCGCTCCAATTTTATTTATCAAGCAATGCGCAGTGCCCGCGTTATCACGACGTGATAAGCGGAAAATCGCTATTAAAACAGAGGTCGTCTATTTTTTCCTGCCTGTTTTCTTTTTTTCCAATAAAGCGCAGAAAGTTGTCGACGTTAAACCGACTGGTTGCGATTTCCCCTGCTAATCCGGTTCCCATTAATTTGCGGATGAGAGATCAATAGGCGTCCATGTGTCGTCTCAAGGATGGTCGCGTATGTCTGTGGATGTATAAATTATCGTCGCGATACTGATAAGATTCCGAAATAAGATCATCACCTACCGTTGTCGGAAAGTATGATCGAGTTTTGTCGAAGGTCTCGCGACTCGTCGCGAAGACGAGACTCGTGCGTTCACACGTAAAGTCTGATCTACAATGTGCTCTTTGCGTTCTGTTTCTTGTTTTCTGTCTTAAAGCCTGATCTACAATATGCTCTTTGCTTCCTGCTTCTTTTTCTCTTTCTGACTCAAATCTTAAGCTTTAAGTCAGAAAAAGACAGAAGACAAGAAACAAAATGCAAAGAGCATATTATAAATCAGACTTAAAGCTTAAGGTTTGAGTCAGAAAGAGATAAAGAGAAAGAAGCAAGAAGCAAAGAACACATTGCAGATCAAGTTTTTCTGATTGAAACCTTGAATCTCTAATTAGAAAAAGATAATAAGAAACAGAAAGCGAAGAGAGAGCACATTATAGATAAGGCTTTACGCACTGGAGAGAATCTCTCCCCTTGTGTGTCGTCGCGTTCACACGACACGCAGCCTTAGGGTTAACAGATACCCATCGATTTATCTTGCACCCTCTCTCGATTCCCGTTCCAACTCTCTTTCTCTCCCTAGTCTCGATTTATGGGAAAACAGTGCCGGCGACTGTAGGTGCGACCGGACATAAATACGACCACGGAGGAGCAGCAGGAGGCAGGAGAAGAAGATGTAAATGTCAGAGGATCACACGACGCGTCCTGTCGAGCGATGCACAAAGGCGCATACCCATCGACGACGTTATTAAGTACGTCATCGTGGAGCGATCGCTCGCTCGGAGGGAGATCATCGCGCATGCACCGGCGAGAAATCGCCCTGGAAATCGGATGATGACGCTTCCTTGTCGGCGTGACGCGCACCGATGAGCAGAGAGCGCGATCTCCTTTTTTTCTCTCTCTTTCCTCTTCACCCGATAAGAAGTGAGATGAAAGATGCCACGCCGGATGTCGGGATTAGCCCTTCGCGCGATTGTTATTTTTATTCA